AAAAAAAAAAAAAAAAAAAATAAGCAGATAATACTACTTGCATGGATGCAGTAGAGCCACGTGACCAACACTGTTACTGTCAGTATATTACTGTTCATATCAGCAGATAAATATGTATTATAATAATAACAAAAAAAAAAAAAGAGAAAGAGGGCGAGACTTCAGAAAGTATCCAGCAAGTGCCGAGCTTTAGCTCTATCCAACGCCGTCTCTAATCTCCAACCTGTCGTCGGTGCCGACCTCGCCGTCCGCCGGCGAGCTTCAAAACCATCCCCTAACCTCATAAGCGTCGACGCCGACCTCATCCCGCAGGAACCCCGACACCTCCGACCAGACAGCCGCAAGTGCCTGGCTCGCACAACACGACAAAAGTAGAACGCATCTCCATGCCGAAATTCGGGCAGACCTGAGGCCACAACCAAAGCCCAACACCGAGCTGAGCTCGGACCCCAACGTACAAATCCGGGCTGACCCAAATCCACAACCGTGGTCAGATGCCGAGCTCGGACTCCAAAACATTCAGGCCCGGGCTGACTTGACGTCACAACGGCAGTTCGACGCACTCGGACCTCAGACCTATCAACCGGCTAAGCACCACCGGTGAACCGACAGTCCGACACTGAACCCGGACTCCATAGCCGACCTTGCAACTGCCGGATCGACCATAATCCGGGCTTCAAATCGAATGCCGACCTTGAATTTCGGGTCGGCACCACACCACAAACACCAAACGTCGGGCTGACACCAGCTCTTCGCCCTCGAACCGTTGGGGCCGACCCCATGTCACAGCCCGGATCCAATAAACCGCAGCAACCGCAGACCGCCTCCAAATCGCCGAGACCGGTATCACAACATAAGAGCTGACCTCACAGTCGACGGGTCGGGCTGAACGTCCACCTCCCAGCCCGAACTCTAAATCCCCGCATAAGACCACAGATCCGACCTCGCCATTGTCGGGGCCGACCTCGAAGCCGGCGAATCTCAAAACTGACGACCGTTCTCGCACTGCAACCGCTGGCCGACTTCGGCGCCTGTCGCCGACCTCACAACTCCCAGCACTGATCACGCATCTCCAAAAATCGTTACAGACCCGACTTTTCAGTCCTCAAATCCCGATACCGAGCTCCCCCCCAAGCACCGAGGTTCTGTCCAGTGGCGAAACCAGCCGGTCATCCCGGGGAGGGCCCAATTTGCCGCGGCGCACCACCCCCACTCCGGCCATCCCGCGGCGCACCTCCCCCACTCCGGCATCTGAAGGGCGCTCAAAGGGCTTTTGTGGATGCTCTCAAAAATTTTCGCAGGATATAAATGAATACTCTAGAGATTTTTTTTAAAATCAAACTAAGTCCGGAATTAAACTGGTATACTTAAACTGAATTGTTTCAACTCGAAAAATACTCGAATTTATACTAATAAAAATCTTGGACTCAATTATAATAATAATCAAGAATTATACCTCCTTTCGAATAGACGAAAAGCTGAAAAAAATTGAGAAAACGAAGCCTCGAACGATCGAACTCGTCATCGACAAATTTGCTCATTTTGATACTATTTAACGCAGAAATTCAAACTCCCCTAATAAATGCTCGAAACTCCGAAAAATGCGAAATTTGTCCGTATGGAATCGTGCTTGAATTGTCTACACACTCCAACTCGATTCTCGTTAAACCGAGGTCACACGCAACCTTACAGAACCCCGCAAAACGGTTTTTTATTTTTCTATTATGCGCACTCGACTTCGAGCTTCTCAAAATAAATGCTCGAAACTTCGAAACGTGAAATAAATTTTACGAACGGATTCTACTGTTCTCGTGCTTTCAAGAAAGCACTCCCGCTAATTTTCAGCACGCCTGACGAGGGCCGACGGTTACCCGAAGTCTAGACATGAAAATGACAATAAAATCACCGCCACTGCCATTTTTCTCTCAACTTCGGGCTACCCAAAATAAATGGTCGAGACCTCAAAATCATAAATCGATGCCACCAACGCACTCTCCGCTTCCCGTACTTTCATAAAAGTATTTTTCGGTAATGATCGACTCGGTTTTTTAGTCTCGTCGGTACACCGCAACTCGGCTAATTAACCAACTCAAAATATAATAAAAATGAAAAAATTATTAAATTCTGTTGCTGTTATAGTTCTCCTTGTCCGGAAACCAGGATCTCGTTTCGGGGAGCCCCAATTTGCCTTTAAAAAAAAATTTCACGACAAAACCGTTGGCGTCTCTCCGGCCATGTATGTACCGCATGAAACCGGGGAGGACCCAACATGAGCGCTCAAAGGAAAATCTTCCAGTTCCAGCAAAATCCTCCACCCCTAGTTCGATTTTTTTTTTTTTTTTTGGGGAGGGTCGGCGCCTCTCCGAGTGCCAACATAGTTTCGCCCCTGGTTCTGTCTCACCTCGACAACTGTCGCCGCCGCCGGGAAGCGAGATCCTCTCTCAAATCCGGACACCGCTGTGGAACGAAGGACGAGCGAATCATGAAAAAATCCTTAATTGATTACATGTATCAATATGCAAAAAGGAGGATAGCTCAATTAGCTTGCCCAATGCAGGACTCCAATCATATACGTCCAAGAAATATATTTTTCATTTTTTATTTCTCTTTTTTCGAGTGGTATCCTATATATTTACGATATATATGTTTCTAATATTTTCTCAACATATAAACTTAATTGTTGTATGCTGTCATTATCAACAACGATTTATGTAAATAAATCATGTTGTTTTATTCAATGCCCAACATTTGTCAAATTACTGATCAACTTAGAAGGTAAATCCAAATATTATCCAATTCAAGTAAATACCTCCCTTTTTTTATAGTAATAGATTTTTAATATTTTTTGAATTCTATATTTCATTTTTTTTATTTACGATGATAAAAGAATTTTGAAATTAAGATATACATTTGAATAAAAATATATATTAAATTATAGTTAATAAAAAATAATTTACAAAAATATTTATAATAAGATATAAATTAATACTATTTAAATGGGCTTAATATCCAATAGCGTGGTAATATTAAAGGGGCTTGATATTATATAAAACAATATTTGTTTTACATTATCTTATACTAAGCCCATTAAAATTGAAATTTTATTAGCCCAAGACTGAATTTCCATCAACCATAAAAGAAGATCCGACGATTGATTTGAGGGTTAGTATAAAACCCAACAAAATCGGAACTATCGGGCAAGAGTTTGCTCTTCTAATTTCGCTGCAAACATTTTTTTTTCTAGTCGAAATTTATTGTTTTTTTACTGAACCTGAAAATTAATTTCACTTTTAGGTTTGTTAAATAGATTTATTGTATAAATTTTGTTCAAATAAATGTATTTTATCATATTAATCTTAGGTTGTTCTTCACATTTTTTTTAAACCTGCTCGAATGAAGATTCGAATTCATTTTGAATCTTTAAGTTTTTGATCGATTTTATATTATTGTTTAACGATTATTATGATTCTTAAAAAAGAATCATTTGTTTCATTGTCCGAAAACAAAATTTTGTTTATTATCTTTTAGTTTTTTTATATGTTAGGGATTTTTATTTGCTTTATTGAGTTTTTAAGATTCTTCAATATTAATTTTTTTTTTGTTGGATTTAGGAATTTTTTTGTTCGTTTTGCTTTGAATTTTTTTTTTTGTTAAAAATCTGTTGTTCGATTTGAGATTTCTCAACAATTTATATTTTTCAGTTTTAATTAACATATTTTTGTAAGATATTTTTGTTAAAAATCTGTTGCAGATTTGAATTTTTTTCCAAAAAAATCACGTGTAAAGCCGCGATTTTGGGCGCAGTAACAGCTCATATGGATTGGATTTTAGTTAATGCTGCCTGTGGAAAAAAAAAAAGTTGCCATAAGTAGAAATCATTTAATGAAGAAAGAGGTTTGACCAAAAATTTAGTTGCCATTTTTAAAAAATGATAAATCTGTTTATATATATAGATATATTGATCTTCCTATGAAGCCAACGGTTGGCTCTATAGTGAAGCCAACTTTCTATACAACAAGTAAAATATACTATATTAATAAAATTATATTAGTGTTATTTAAGTAATCAGAGAATATAATAAGTTTACTTGTTGTATATAGAAAGTTAGATTGCACTCTGGAGCAAACTGTTGACTTCATAACAAAAACCGATTAATATATATATATATATATATATACAAATTAATGAGTTGTTAAAATGTTATTCCCGTTTAGCGCGGCCTTCCATTGCTAAATAAAGCACAACAAAACCGAGTAAAAGAAAAATAAAAATAATAATAAACAAGAAAAAACATTACTCACGTTTTGTCACCTTCTTCTCCGTTCATGCATTCTACACCAGCGATATTCGTAGCAAAAAGAAATTCCGAAAAATGCAACAGAAATTTCGAAGGAAAAAGAAGAAATCGTGAAACCCATCATTTTCAGCTGCAATTGATCGCATTTTTCAGTTAAAAAAGACATTTTTTTTTTCCGAATTCGATCGAAAGATGGATGATGGGGATTGCTTTGGGAATAACGAGGTTTTCAATCCCATCATTCAATTGGGCTCACAGGTCGCTTGCTTGCTCGTTATCTCGCATTTCTTCCAAATTCTGCTTAAGCCCTTGGGCCAACCCGCACCCGTTGCGCAAATTCTCGTAAGTATGTCATCAAAAAACAGATTTAAGTGTTTCTTGTGTATATGTATTTGTGTGTTTTTTTGTTTATATGTTTGTTTATACTCTGATGATGTTCGATGATTGTGCAAGGGAAGACGCATGAGCCCATTTCGATTTAATTGTTAATTGAATCTGAAAGTGAAAGAAAGTGATTTGTGTAGGTTTATATTGATGTTGTCTGAGAAAATAATGATGTACATTGGCAGTGAGACTCTTAATTTCATTAGGGTCTTGGTTCATGCAAACTGTGATTCAGGAAAAACTGGGTGAATGAAAATCCAAAGTTGTATACAGATCATGGCAGTGATTTTGTTCCAAAATTTGCTTAAACAAAGTTTCGATTCACACTTTCTTCACAAGAACTCAGTATATTTGAACCCCAAACCTTGTTCCCACATTGAGTAACAGGCAGAGTGCCAGTTGTTCTAGCTCTGATACCTTTCCCTTTTTTTTTTTTTCCTATTATTTATAAATGCAGGCAGGATTCGTGTTGGGACCATCCGGATTATCCCGTATCGACATTGTCCGAGCATTCTTCTTCTCCAATGCAGCCGATTACTACGAGACAATGGCCCTATACGCTCGAATCATAATCATGTTCCTAATCGGGCTCGAAACAGACGTCCCTTACCTAAAACGAAACCTTCGTATAGCCAGCATCATCTCCTTAGCCAGCAGCTTCATATGCACCATATTTGCTGTAGCTGTCACTTCCTTCATATACGAAGAAATGGGGGCCCACGGGTCGGGAGTCATAATGGCCCTAACCCTAGCCGTAATCCTCTCCAACACGGCTTCCCCTTTCGTGGCCCGGTTGGCCCACGACCTCAAATTCGCCAGCACAGACATCGGCCGGCTGGCAATATCGACTTCTTTGATCGGTGACACTTACGCCGTGTTTTTGCTCATCATAATTTCAAGAAATAAACGTGAAAATAAATTTTCGAGCTGGGTTTGGCTCGGTTTGCTCTACTCCCTCATCGTTATAGTGGTTATAATCGTGAATAGGCACGTCGCCAGCTGGCTTAACCGGAGGAAGAGGAACCAAAAGTACTTGAAAAATGCTGAGCTTTTTGTGCTTTTGGCGATTCTATTCGTGGCAGCCACTTCGCTCGAGACGATGGGTTTTAGTAGCATTATCGCGTGTTTTTTGTTAGGGGCAATGTTTCCTCGAGGGGGTAAAACGGGAAGGACCCTCTTGATAAAGCTTTCGTATTTTGTGCACAATTTCGTGCTTCCGATATATTTTGGGTACAGTGGGTTCAAGGCGGATATAACCATTATCGATAGTTTTCGTAATTTCGCGATAGTTGCTATTGTGATACTGTTGAGTATTGGAGGGAAAGTGACAGGCACGCTGGCTGCTTGCTGTCATTTGAAAATCCCACTTAACGAGGGGGTTCTCTTAGCTTTCTTGATGAACTTGAAGGGGCACGTCGATTTGCTTGCCCTCACGATCGGGTTGGAGAATAAAGTAAGTTTTGTCCTTTTTTCATTTTGCTATATTTATATTTTGCTCACTCTTCTCAAAGAAGGAAATATGTGAAGGTCTTATTAAGTAGTTAAGTAGTAACCCTCGTGCTAGAAAAAGAAATGAAACTATCCTAGAATACTGAATATCATGTGTTGCGCATTTAAAGGAATCGATAAACAACACTATTTTTTGGTCTAAATACACAAAAATCAAAATCTAACATCTTTATGAAACTAAAAGTTTGGACAATTTTCCTGGCTATTGTACTTACTAAACAAACGAAAATGAATCTTTAGGGTTAGTATCGAAAGTTTCTGGTCTAATTACACAAAATCTAACATCTTTAGGAAACTACAAGTATGAACACATTTCCTGGCTAGCTTTTGTAGTTACTAAACCAACGAAAATGTATCTTAAGGGTTAGTATCGAAAAGTTAAAGACAGTTCGAAAAAACATGAAAATACTAGTTAAGGTAAATCTCAAAAACGATACATTAAAAATTTCCCGATGCAGGTGATGTCGAGCCAAGTATTCTACATCCTGATGATGGCAGCCGTCGTAATCAACTCCCTACTGTGGGGCCCACTCATCTCATTCATGGTCCGTCGGGAGAGCGATATCCTCGGCTACAAGCACGTGTCTTTCGAGTACCAATCCCCCGAGTGTGAGCTCAAGCTCTTATCCTGCGTCCACGGGCCTCGGCCCGTGGCCTCCATGATCGGCCTCATAGCCTCATGCAAAGGCTCGGATCACGTCCCGATCACCCCTTACCTCATGCACCTAATCGAGCTCCCTGAAAAGACCAAAACTAACCTTCTCTACCACCAAAAGGAAGAAGACGAGCTAAGTGACGATGAAAACTACGGAGGTAACGACGTGGTCGAAATAAACGAGGCAGTCGATATTTTCACGGCCGAGACAGGCATATACATTAACCAGGTGAAAGTTGTCTCGCCCTTCGCAACAATGTATGCTGAGGTGTGCGAGTTTTCCGAGGATGTTCGGGCCTCGATCGTGATCTTACCTTTCCACAAGCACCAAAGGATAGATGGGAAGTTGGAGCCCGGGAAGGAAGGTATAAGGGCCACGAACCAAAAAGTGCTCCGGCACGCAAAGTGTTCTGTGGCAGTTTTAGTGGACCGTGGGCTGACTTCGCATGTTCCAGGCTCGGGCTCACTTCAGCATGTGGCAATGCTGTACTTTGGTGGGCCTGATGACAGGGAGGCGCTTGGGCTGAGCAAGCGTCTAGGAATGCACCAAAGCATTAACCTGACTGTGATTCGGTTCTTGCGCAGGCCCGGCCCGAGTGAGAATGTGGCCATCGATATGGATGAAAGGGAAGGGGATTTCCTGATGAGGTCCATTAACCAGGAGCCGCAGAACGATGCTGACAATATTGCATTGAGTGCGTTTTTTAATAGGTATGTTTTGTAACGTTTTTACTGGATTTGGTCTCTTTTGGAATTAGTAAAGTTTATGATATGCCCTCTTGGAAAACTTTTTCATGAACAAACATGAAATGCTAGAGTTGTTTTGTAAGGCCTTAAGAGGGGGTGGGGTACTTTCAGTAAGTTTGGGAGATGATTGAGTTAGTGTAAGTAACTAGATCAGATAAGGATGTTCCTGCAATTATTCTTCCATTACCATGCACTTTATGAAAATTTTGGACAAATCCTAAAAGCTACACTGAGGTTTGCAGTAAATACAAAGAAACCCGGAGAAATTTTTGGACTTGCCGAAGGAAATGAAAGAATTTTACCTCAGATTAAAAGTGGGTAGTCATGTTTTTTTTTTTTTTTCCTCCATTTGTGAGTATATAGATGTGGAGATTGAAAATATGCACTTCTTATGATAGGGAAAGAAAAATATAGGACATAATAAAACCAAGGGTTTTTTGGTAGTTTAAAATCTTCCATAGGACTTTTCTCATAGATACCCAAAGTATTGGGGGTCTAGAAGCAATTTCCTCAAACAATTTTGTCGTCTGTTTTTTACCATCTAGGGTCTTCAAGAGTTTGAAATTTATTGACCGAGCACAATCATCATTTACAGGTATGTGACTTCGGGCCAAGTCGGGTACGTGGAGAAGCAAGTGACAGATGGTGGAGAGACAGCATCAGCTCTAAGAGATATGGCCGATATGTATTCCATGTTTATAGTTGGAAAGGGAGGAAGAGGCCACTCGACACTAACAACCGGCCTGAGTGATTGGGAAGAATGTCCCGAGCTTGGGAAAGTAGGTGATTTTTTAGCTTCCTCGGATTTCGAGCTTAGTGGTTCGGTTTTAGTTGTACAACAGCATAGAACATCGAAAACGGAAGATGGAGATCGATAGGGTTTATTCATGTAGGCATGCACTTTTAGTGGTTGGCTTGTTTATATGTTGAGAAAGATTTACATAAGAGGATTTCTTTTTGTCCTCTGTGTTTCCTTTTAGTTTTTCTAAATCTTTTGGGAAACAGATAGAATGGAAGGGGGTTCAGTGTAAATATGAGATATCTCCGTTGGTGAAAAATGATTAGAACTTTAGTGGCTTGAGAAAACTCAATGCAAAATGTTATTGTTAGACTGACTAACCATTAATGATTGATTGGGTTGATCAATAATAATTTTTGAACAAAAATGCATACTTATGCTATGAAATATCACTTTTTCTAATCTTATTTCGAGAGCATGACATAACAGTAAAAAATTCATTCATATTTATAAAAAATGTATGATTTGATGTTCTTCTAACTAAAGCTTATCGACCTCAATGGGATTCGAAGAAGATACTCACATTTCACCATCCCTCTCATTAGATTGTCTAACTACAATATTTGTGTAGAAATGGGTTTCAAGATCATGAAATCAAGTTTTAGGGTTAAAAGTCTTCAAATTAATGGGCACTTTGCCACATGGAATCACCTCCGATCGCTTTTCTCTGCCGAAAAAAAAGCTGCATACGAAAGCACAAACCTATCTGAGGGCATTTTCGCCATTCACGAATGTGGTACAGTTTGCCAAACTGATTGATCAATCAACAATTTCAAGTTTAAAGTGAATCAACAAGAATTGAGTTATGTAACAATCTAGCAACAAAAGCTCAGTATTATACTTGAATCAAATGTTTCATATTAGTACAGACAAATATTTCTTCCTTATCCTCAAGAGTACTGCAAAAATTGGCTACTTGCAATTGCCCCAACAATACGAATAGCTTGATTGGCTTCATAAGCCACTACCTACTCCACCATGGAGTCGTCGAGGCTTCCCCAGCAGGTCTTTGAAAAATTTTCTTGCTTTTACCTGCAAAAATATTCCAAAAAAATATCTTTAGTTAGAACATGAGAACACAACTCTGCAAATAGCCAAACAAATCATTATGCAAGAAACCATGATAATTGAGACCTCGACCAAAACTTACTACAATAGCATAAAAATGCAATATCGCACGGAAAGGACCAATGCTCACCTTTCTTCTTCAATTGCTTAACTCTGAGCTTCGAACTCTTCTTCATTGGGAACTTAACAGCAGCTTTATTGGCAGATTCCGATGGCTCCAAATTCCCTTAAAATAGTAAGGCTTCCCATCAATAAACACGGTACATGATGTAAAAACAAACTAGCAGCGGTTTGAACAATGAAAATGTACATTTCAAGATAATGAGAGCAGGAGAAAAACATCATAACTACTTATGAATTACGAATAAAACACAAAAAGGGCCAACATGGTCACAATAAAGTAAAGCTAAACAGCCAGTGAGCTGAATAAACCAAAGGAGGACAAGATAATCAACAATGCCTAACATGCGCACTCTCGTTTAACCCCATTGCTGTACGATACTGCCAACTCAAAGTCATACAGCTAATTTACTCAGATTTCAAGATAAATAACCAGGCTATCGTCAGCATACCATCAGCAAGCTCCATCTCCACATCTTGCATCGAGATTAATCCCTTTTCAACCGCCTCTTTCTGATCCTGTTATTGCCAAAAATAAAAACAAAAAACACGATAATAATCATAATAATCACATTGCTCAGGCTAGGCGTGGAATATTAATTTATATATAT